TGAAAGCTTATCAGTATTTACTGCCTAGTATCACATTGATGATGTCTCACCTGTCCATAGAGGGCCCATTCGTGGAAGTCTCACTGCCAATCAAAGCATCTGCTCTTTCGTTGCACAAGCAACAGTGATCGTGCGAAAACTATGCTCAGGCGGAGCCACTGCTTCTTTATGTAACCTGGTCTGAATCTTTTGTATCATTGAATGTTGAATGTCGAATTAAGAATCGACACCACAGCAGTCAGAACACTCCCATAAGCGCTCAGTCCCCGTACTGCTCTGGCACCATGAGAGTTGGAACTATGTGCAATGATGTCGCTTTTTGGAATTTCTTCTATTTAATTTTTTTTTTCAATTTCACCGGCTTCAACTCCAGCGGACATTTCTGGTGGTTCGTCCACATCTAGACTTAGGTCTTGTTCTAGAACCTGTATTGCGTGCACATCCATTTTACATATCTGAATTACTTGTATGCAGACTGTTCATTCCTTGACTCTCATGCAAATGTACTCTGACTTCGAAAGCGCTCCCTATTTGTAGACTCTTGCGACATGGATGTTGGCGAAGCAATTTGTCTGTTCTTGCTTTCCCACAATGAGGAGGACATAGCAGCAATGGGGCCCTGGAACCCACACATGGATTCTTGAAACTAAACCCACCTCAGCTGATTTACCTTTCTAATGGAGGTAGATGCAGCTCTGTGAAGGTATACTGTGTTTGGGAATTACCTGAAAGCACTGAGAGTAAGCCAGTTCATGTTGAACGCACCCTAAAAACACGAAGAGCGTTAAGTTCGCTGGTCATTTTATGACATTTATTTTTGTTGGCAATTTGTTATTTTGCAATCGCGTGAGACTAATTTTTTTCAGGTGAAGCAATCCGTATGATAAGTATGTCTGTCTGACATTTTCAGATTCTTGGAGGGGCCAGAGCAGTCAAAGAGGTAATAATCTCTGTTTAATACGTTGCTTTTCTTGCAGATAGTTTCAGATGATAGCCATGCCTGACTGAGGCTCCGAGATTCTCGATGGCATAGAAATCAGTAAGATAGCGATGTCTGTCTAATACTTCAAGGGTTTTCGGAGTTAGATCAGTCGGAGAGTTTACTATGTCTGTCTGAGACTGTAGGCTACTTGAGAAAACGTGCTGCTTGAACATCTATGGGTACGACAAGTATGCTATGATGTCAAATATAAAGTTAGTAATCAGGACAACAGTTCAAACACTTAATTACTGATGTCTGTAATTAGATGACTCTCAAAGACATGGTAAATAGTTAGATAATATTGTCTGTCTGTAATTTGATGACTCTCAAAAACTTGACAAAACAAAGAAACTAATGTTTGTAATTTGATGATTATTATTGTCTGGACAGTCAGAATGATAGCGATATATGTCTGTAATTTGGTGATTCTTAAAAACTGGACAAACAGTAGGATAGCGATGTCTGTCTGTAATTTGGTGATTCTTAAAAACTGGACAAACAGTAGGATAGCGATGTCTGTCTGTAATTTGGTGATTCTCAAAAACTGGACAAACAGTAGGACAGCCATGTCTGTCTGTAATTTGATCATTCTTAAAGACTGGACGAACAGTAGGATAGCGATGTCTGTTTGTAATCTGGTGATTCTTACAGCCTAGAAAAACAGTAGGATAGCGATGTTTGTCTGTAATCTCGTGATTCTTAGAGACTGGACAAACAGTAGGATAGCGATGTATGTCTGTAATCTGATGATTCTGAAAGACTGGGAAAACAGGGATAAACACAGGAAAGACAAGGAGCTATCCAGAAGCTTATAAGAGAAGTGACTACAATACAGAAGTAGGAAGTAATGGACCCTTTCCCACACCTTCAGGCGTATTGTAAATACAGAGCTAGACCTATATTATGTTGACCAATGGGCACTCGGTGGCTGATGTGGCCAGATCACGCCGACTACAAAACGGTGGTGTTATATTTTTAATTTGACCTCAGACGAATAAATCGGGCAAAGACCGTCATCATCATTATGTAGCAGGTCCTTTGCAGAACGTCGATCTCATCACGGTCTGCCTGAAAGAAACTCAGTCTCTCGCCAGGTCTCCCGCCTCATGCACTTTCATACTCAAGGAGTCACTTATATCCTTGACCATCTTCGAATTAGTCGGCCCCTGCCCCTCCTTTCTGGTACCATGCCTTCTGCTATACTTTTATCCAATCCGTTGTGGCGCTTGATATGGCCTACATATTTCAGCTTCCGAGACAGGATGCTGTTTATTAGCCAATCTTCCTTGATTTTCAAATCTTCCAAGATGTGAGTTTTTCTCCTCTTTTCCGTTCGAGATATTCTGAAGACCGTGTGAAGACCGTACGACTTAAATATGACATAGACGTACTAACCGGTCGTGTGGTGGCAGAAGAACGAGAAATTATTGCGATACACCAAAACCAAACAAATCATGGTTCGGTCAAGAAGTTCACTACATGTATAACCGCCAAAGTACCTAAAAAAAAAATGCACGCGAGAGGCAAAAGAAAGTTGGATATGAAGCAAATAAGTAGAAATAAAAGAATGTAACAAGTACTTAGCAGTTTGAATTTAAATTAGCAGTTTGATTTTAGAAAGTTGCCATTTTTTAACTTATTCACAGACAGAAATGACATCCTAAATAAATTGTCTGAACACTGTTCGAGCGTGTATAACGAACACACAAATAGCAACGCCGAAATGCTCGACAGCTAACCAGCACAGGATGATGATGGCTTACCAATACTCCGGTACCATGTAGAACTAGCCATCAAGATCTAAACAAAAACAAAAACAAAAAATAGAATGGGAAAGCCGGGGACATTGACAACAACCCTCTAAGATCCCTATGGCGTAAAAAGAGGTGGGATGTGGACGATATTGAAATTCTCTCAGAAATATGTAACAACAAAATGGGTAGACTGATGTGACCATATATTTGGATCAAATCACTCATCACCCCCCCCCCCCCCCCCCCAATTTTTCAGGGAAAATTTAAAAAAAGGGGGAAGGGGTGGATTAAAAACTATGTAAGAATTATATGGTCCCCGTGTGGGTTCCGGGGCCCCATTGTGGGGAAAACAAGAATAGACCCACTGCCTCCCCAAAAGCATGTCGTAAGAGTCGACTAATTGGGGAGCTTCCTTTGAAGTCGGAGTGCATCTGCCGGAGAGGCAAGGAACCAAGAGTCTGTATTCAAGAGAATGAGATCTGTAAAACTGATGCACACGCAACACTCAGGTTCTGGAGCAGGACTGCAGTTCAGTAGTGGACGATAAACCAGAACTTTCCACCAGAGTGTACAGCTGGTGAACGCGAAGAAGAAGAAGAAGAATTATATGGCCATAGAACTCACCAGTCACCCCAGTAAAGTCGTGCTCCAGGTGCCCCTGAAGGGACTGAAGCCCCCAGCAGACGGTTTTCTGTACTAGAAGAATCACGGTTGATCAGATATTGAATCTGGGCATATTGTCAGTCCACAAAAGCCAACGCCAAAAGTATCTTTCCATGCATTCACTGACTATAAACAAAAAGCCTTTGACAGAGTTTGTCATGAAGCGCTCTGGATTACAATGAAAAAAAATACAATATGGGTAAAAGTCTTCATGCGTCGTGTAGAACAGCTTTATGCCAAAGGCAGTAGTGCTATCACGCTGAACAGACAAATAAGGAGCTGGTTCGAACAGCAGTAGGAGTCCGTCAGGGCTGCCTCCTCTCATCAAAAAGAATTACGACTGACGCCTTAGACATACATCGTGGAACAATTAGTACAGGAGTACGAATTAGAACAACATATGAAGGTTTTGCAGATTACATCGGGATGACCAGGGAAGAACAAGAGCTGGTCGAAATCGTAAACTTGCATGATGAAACACATTCATCAAGTATGGCTGGAAATAAACATGGAAATGATTAGAGTAATGATTAATTATCCAGCTGGCATAACAACCCCAATGTACTTTACAGCTCACACATGAGAACAAGTCAATCATTTTAATATTTAGGCTTTTTAAAGTGACCTAGGGCCCCGACCAGAAATCATGTTTAGGACCACATATGCAACGTTAGCCCCATCTAAAATGATAATTTACTGGTTGCTCTGCTTTTTTTTTTTAACTTAACAGCAAAAGGAGCAGTCGCAGGGTAAATTCAATAAAAGGTATTTTCTAAGTTATGCGTGCTAACGAAATACGTATACAAGTTTCATAAACGGGTAAAACTGGATAGAAACACATTAATGCCTTTATCAGACACGGGGAGTAACATATTCTTTCCTTGAACAGACAGGATAATGAATGAACGAATTAAGGAATATCATATTTAGTGGTTCTACAACGCGTTGTCTAATTTTTGGCATCACTGCTATCAATTTTCTTCTAAACAGCACACAACATGGACAACCGACCGATCTGGCAGCAAGTTTATCGTACAATCTGCCCAGCATAACAAGCTTTCAAGCAGCAGTCAATGATAGCTATACAAACATTCTGGGCATCATGTATGAATTCGCATACATGTTTTGTTTACAAAGGAATGGTCCTGATATTTCTATAAACGTACCAGCTTGTGAATGTAAAGAATGGCAATGCATTAAAACGGTCAGTGTATTCCATGACATTAAGCTTCGACAAAACCCATTCAGGAACTTCCATATCGCGTGATTTGACATATTCTTATGTTTTGCTTTAGGTGCTCTGTGGTTTTGGGGTTGCGAAAACAGTTTGTAGTTCCGAGGTATGTGGTTCGACTCCAGCTACAGGTGATTTTGTAGTAAATCCGTTGATGTTGATTTTTAAAAAAATGGTATCTAAAGTCAGTCGCTCGGAAAACAATGGCAAACTACTAAACGTAAAAATTGCCTAGTGAAACCACAATAGCTATCATATGCTGGGATTGGTTTGCAGTGCCTTCTAAAGAACACACAATTAACACCTTTATTTTGTTTGGGGATTTTCAAAGCTTCTAAGGCTTATTTTTCTCTCTCTCTCCAAAGTGATGGACAAAATGGCAACTGTGTTAGCGGCTCTAGTCGTGAAATCATCTTCTAGCGGAACTCTGGTTGTATCGGCAATAGCAGGCTTGTCCACATACCTGACAACAGTCCCTATCTCAATGGCAGGCGCCGAGCTGACACAGGACACCAACAACAGTTATATTGACAATACAAAACGTCCCAGTTCCCATGAGAACAAGAATAAAACTATCAACTTAACGGTCTCCGACGAGGAGCGCCAGCGATATTTGGAGGAGCTTCAGAGTGAAACAACGATGACCATGTTGCCAGCAATAGTGTTTCTCCTCACCATTGCTGTGGTGGGTTTAGTCGGGAACTCTCTGGTCATTGTTGTGTACTCCCGCAGACCTCAGTGGACGGCAACTGGAGTCCTCGTCGCCACCATTGCAGTGCTTGATCTCATAGCTAACACTATCGCAATACCTGGTAAGGCTAGTTGTGTCTTATATTAATTCAATAAGTGGTCGTTACTGTGAGTCGGTTCTGTGGCTAAGTCGATGCGAACGCTTCGTAATGCCGGGATTCCGGGTTCGATCCCAGCTGCGGGCCATGCGCCTTGCGTTGGTTTCGACAGTGGTATCAAAAAAGACGACCGTCCAGACAAACCACTGGACGTAAATTTTGCCTAGAAAAACAACAGCTGTTGGGGTTGGTTCTGCAACGCCCTGTAAAGGATACGCAACTAACCGTAACCGTGAAGTAGGATAAGCAGACGAGACAGTTATCATTTCCAGCAGTGTACAGGGTTAAAAGAAAATAATTATGTCAGTCAAAAAAGACTTTAGCCACGAAAGTAGCGCATATATACAAGACCACAATCATAGCCGGAAACTGTTGGCAGCTTCGGTTAGCTAGCAGCAAGTTGAACGTGGGTGTTTTTATGATTTTTTTCTCTCAGAAAGAATTGGAATTGGAGTCAAAAAAGTGCAGCGAAGAATAAAATAGATTTTGAGTTAACAACAACAACAACAACAACAACAACAACAGTCCACAAATCAATAATGAAGAGATCGAAAGTTTTACAGACTGAATATTTAGGCTCTATAGTGAACAATGGCGACTGCACAAGAAAAGTTACAAGACGACTGGCTTTAGTAATGCAGAGACTTAATAGCATGGAGGACCTGAATCACAGAACTGGCAAGCGAATTTAAGTAACAATTTTGACATTTTGCCTCTTTCCCGTTGCAACTTATGACTACGAATTATAGACTCTTTATCTGTCAAAACCTGCCAATTACTGCCTTTATATACCACTCTGCGGTGTAGACAGGAAGGTCTTTGAGTCTGAGGATTTAAGGCCGGATGGCTGGTGTTGTCGCCACGACCGTGTAGGTAAGAATTTTATTCTACCCAACCAAACCCTCTCAACCCCTCCCCCACCCCCCCCCCGGCAGAAAAAAAAAATCTCCAGCCTTACCGAGGATACGAACCCCGGTCTCCGCATGAGAGTCCAGCGTTCTAACCGCTCCGCCAGCCGCTCCTCGGACTTTTTATCAAACATTGAATACCATAGGCCTAAAAGAATAAACACACCGACATCTTAAATGATCTTGGTATCATGGAGAATTGGCTCATAAACAGCATCCTGTCCGTATAGCTAAGGTCATGGGGGCGTGGATAGAACAGTGGTGAAGGGTACAGTTTCTGGAAGACGTGTTTGAGTGTTTGTGTGCGTGTGTGTGTGTGTGTGTGTGAGAGAGAGAGAGAGAGAGAGAGAGAGAGAGAGAGAGAGAGAGAAATAAAAGAGCGTGTATGAAGGAGAAAGAAAGGGTGAGAGATAGTGTATGTGTGTGTGAATGAGAAAGAGAGTCATAGAAAACAAAAGGAAGGGATTGGGGGGTGGGGGGGGGGGGGGAGCAAACGAACGAAACTTCATTTTTGAAGTGTAAGGAACAGGGCACGCAGGCCCGACTAATATTCCGTCTTTTTAGTCTCTCTCCTTACAGACAGTATTCATTGACATATCATTTTATAGACAATAATCCACCGTCAAGGACCTCTCTTTGTTTATAATAAAACTAAAATATGCTCTAAACATACGATAACACGCACTGACATTTCTTAACACTCGTAATTAGTAGCATTGTCATAAGGTAATCTAACAATGTACAAGAAATGGTAACAACTAACATCTTTGATAGCAACTAAATACTAATTGAAACCGCTTGAATGTCCTCAAATCAAATTTACGTGTGTGAGCTATAATAATTGTTAGTATTAAAATTTTAATAAATTTAAGGGACACATAAAATATGCTCAGCGAGAGGGAGAAGCGTAGAAAAACGAGACACAGAGAAAATCAGAGAACGAACAAACGATGGTTCGGTTTGGTTTTATACAACGGATCAACATCATAGCACAAGGGTGGTAAACATAAGTGCTCCGTTAACTTCTAACTGAAGCCTGAGTCCGAAGGATCTCAGCGCAGTGCAAGAACTCGGTAGCACCGGTGAAGATCCTGAAATACTTTCGGTAGATTTTAAACTAAATATTTTGCCCGAGCAGCACCGATAGGCTACGCTTTTTGATTTCCAACTGCCAAGGGATTTGTATTCATTCGCAAGAATACACACGGGCGTCCAGCCTTACTACCCAGAGACCAGAGGAAATTACTATAGTTCACGTAAAAAAACCTAGCCTTCACCAGGCCGAACCCGGTGCCTCCAGCTCTCGAGGCGGACGCCATATCCTGAGTACACTCAGCTCACGAATGAACTAAATCTTTTTCCAAAGGGTAACAAACTGGGTCTTTACATCGACCTTTACAAACACCCATCTTTCACAAAATAGTTGTATTTTAACAATAAAACATGTTATGTTCATGTAATAATTTGCACGCTATGAATATCAAGGGGGAAAAGCATGGGAGACACAGAGGAAGGCAGAGAGAAAAGGGGGAAGCGGTGGGGGTAGTGGAAGAGGGGGGGGGGTGTTGGTTTAGCTTTGTGAAAAAACGTATTAAATGGAAACAAACAATCAAACAAATGTGCAGACAACGCTAAAAGAAACTCTGACTGATTATCAATATAAAATAAAGCAACATCATAGCACACCGGACATACCTATGGATTCTCTGTCCTTAGGTGTAGAGCGGCGGTTCTCAGTCTTAAAGGTTAAAAAAAATATAGGCATACAGACCCTTAAAACAATTGAATACTTAGAGAAAGAAGAAAAAAAAACCATTGCAAATTTGATGTTCAGTTGTCCTTAATGCGATGAACGAAACTGTTTGGATGAAATTTTTAAATTATATCCTTTACATTTTCATGGATAACCCTGCCTGAAGAGATAAAGAGCGGCATTTGACGACTTCTTAGCCTTTATGTAAATCAGAATGATTTGACTCCAGACGACTCTTTAACCACAACTTTACTTATCCACTGCACCTTCGCGAATGCTGGTAGAGGATTGGTCGCATCTTGAAATAAATTCAAGGGCAACTCTTATCGTGTTGAGGTTGGCATTTTATGCAAAATGAAACATGTCTGAGTGTGAAAAAAAAAAAAAAAACAGTAAACTTTTTCGACACTTGCGAAGGAAGACAACCTAAATTTTAACTTTTGAGTATCTTCATTAATAATTTCACAGTTTGAGCCGTCTTGTCTTGATTATTGCCGCGGCACCCCTGGCATAAACTCGAGGCACCACCCCCCCCCCCCCCCCACGCTGCCGCGGCACCCCTGGCATTCAATCGAGGCACTCCCACGCTGTCGTGACACCCCTGGCATACACTCGAGGCATCCCCCAACGCTGCCGTGACATCCCTGGCATACACTCGAGCCCCCCCCCCCCCCCCCCCCCCCCCCACGCTGCCGTGACACCCCTGGCATACAGTCGAGGCACCCCCACGCTTCCGTGACACCCCTGGCATACAGTCTAGGCACCCCACGCTGCCGTGACACCCCTGGCATACAGTCGAGGCACCCCCCACGCTGCCGCGGCACCCCTGGCATACAATCGAGGCACCCCCCACGCTGCGGAGGCTTCCAGTTTGAGAAGCAATGGTATAGAGGGCTGACTGATCCAAGAACACACCCATAGGCCGTATTATATGTAATTTCTTACCAGATTCAAGCTTTATTAAATCCAAACTCACACACATTCTTGAACAGAATTTTAAATAAAAAATAGAAGCAATTGTGATTTATTTTTGAGTCACGTGAAAATAAAACATTAGGGAATCAGAAAAATGACACTAGAAGGAAAAGTTGAAAGCAAGCCAGCAAGACGTAGACAGCGATACAATAGGGAGTATTGAATAATTAAGAAAAAAAGTAGACTTACATCAGTAGCAGAGAGTATACAGTCACGACGACAAACGGAAGGCGCCGGAGGTTAATAAAAGCCGGTCTTCATTTTAGAGACGTACCCTGATTGACTACTGTACAGATAGTTTAACTTACTGTGAAGTATATGCCTACATTCAAGGTGTGGGTCCAGGAGGCCCACTCTGGGAGGTGAGGTGGGGGGGGAAAGACACAACGCCCTTCTAGCAAGGGTGTCGTAAGAGGAGACTAATTAGAGCTGTTTCATTTGAAGTTGGTGGGCAATTGTCTGTCGAAGTTACAGCCGGCCAGCTCTAAGAAAAAGAAGAAGAAGAAGAAGAAGAAGAAGAAGAAGAAGAAGAAGAAGAAGAAGAAGAAGAAGAAGAAGAAGAAGAAGAAGAAGAAGAAGAAGAAAAGGAAGAAGAAGAAGAAGAAGACGATGATGCAAAGAGGTTGCAGAAGAAGTAGAATAAGAGAAAGAAGAAGAAGAAGAAGAAGAAGAAGAAGAAGAAGAAGAAGAAGAAAAAGAAGAAGAAGAAAAAGAAGAAAAAGAAAAAGAAGAAGAAGAAGAAGAAGAAGAAGAAGAAGAAGAAGAAGAAGAAGAAGAAGAAGAAGAAGAAGAAGAAGAAGAAGAAGAAGAAGAAGAAGAAGAAGAAGAAGAAGAAGAAGAAGAAGAAGAAAAAGAAGAAGAAGAAAAAGAAGAGAGAAGAAGAAGAAGAAGAAGAAGAAGAAGAAGAAGAAGAAGAAGAAGAAGAAGAAGAAGAAGAAGAAGAAGAAGAAGAAGAAGAGCAAGAAGAAGGAGAAGAGGAAGAAGAAGAAGAAGAAGAGGAAGAAGAAGAAGAAGAAGAAGAAGAGGAAGAAGAAGAAGAAGAAGAGGAAGAAGAAGAAGAAGAAGAAGAAGAAGAAGAAGAAGAAGAAGAAGAAGAAGAAGAAGAAGAAGAAGAAGAAGAAGAAGAAGAAGAAGAAGAAGAAGAAGAAGAAGAAGAAGAAGAAGAAGAAGAAGAAGAAGAAGAAAAAGAAGGAAGAAGAAGAATGAAGAAAAAGAAAAAAGGAAGAAGAAAAAGAAGAAGAAGAAGAAGAAGAAGAAGAAGAAGAAGAAGAAGAAGAAGAAGAAGAAGAAGAAGAAGAAGAAGAAGAAGAAGAAGAAGAAGAAGAAGAAGAAGAAGAAGAAGAAGAAGAAGAAGAAGAAGAAAAAAGAAGAAGACGAAGAGAAAGAAGAAGATTAAGAAGAAGAAGAAGAAGAAGAAGAAGAAGAAGAAGAAGAAGAAAAAGAAGAACAAGAAGAAGAACAAGAAGAACAAGAAGAACAAGAAGAACAAGAAGATGATGATGATGATGCAAAGTGGTAGCAGAAAATTTAGAAAAAGAAGAAAATGATGATGATGATGCAAAGCGGTAGCAGAAGAAGAAGAAGAAGAAGAAGAAGAAGAAGAAGAAGAAGAAAAAGAAGAAGAAGAAGAAGAAGAAGAAGAAGAAGAAGAAGAAGAAGAAGAAGAAGAAGAAGAAGAAGAAGAAGAAGAAGAAGAAGAAGAAAAAGAAGAAGAAGAAGAAGAAGAAGAAGGAAGAAGAACTGTCTTCCTGTGCATTACTTTGATGTTAGTAATAATGACTCTGATGATAATGATGATGATGAATATGATTTATAAAACGTATACTTCAGCTGAAATATACGATATGTTTCACACATGGACCTTCCACAACTCGCATTTATGCAGGGCTAGACTACATGCCACGGTTTTCATAACACTGAGTTCTGGCATGATTCTTGTAGCTGTGGCGGTGACAAGGTAGGTATGAATCTCTCTATGCTCTCTCTCTCTCTCTCTCTCTCTCTCTCTCTCTCTCTCTCTCTCTTCCACTCTCTCCTCTCTCCCTTCATCTCTCCCTCTCTCTCTCTTCATCTCTTTCTCTCTCTCCCACTCTCTCTTCATCTCTCTCTCTCTCTCCCACTCTCTCTCTTCATATATCTCTCTCTCACACACACACACACACACACACACAGTCCTTTGCGGGATAAAGAGATACCCTCTGAAAAAAAAAGATATGCACCCGTCCGTTTCTTTGAGTTCACCCCATCTCAGGGTAATCGGCGTCTGTGGCTCAAGCGTTGCGAACGCGCTTCGTAATGCCTCGAAGCCGGGTTCGATCCCAACTGCGGACGGTTTGTCTTGCGTTGGTGTTGACAATAGTACTGAGAGCTTACCGTTTAGAAAGCAACGGCAAACTACTGAACGTAAAATGTATCTAGAAAAGCCACAACAGCAAAAAAAAAGAAATGAAAACGCTACAGTTGGTTCTGCAACGTCCGGTAAAGAATACGTAAGAGACTAACATGTCTGTATTCCCAGATTTCGTGTGAAGTTCCATGAAGAGTCCACAGAGGCGCACGAACTGACAACAAATACGCACACGCCGACACAGCTCACCGACAACATATACACACACAATCAACACACACACACACACACAAAATTGTTGAATGTTGAATTAGGAATCGACATCACAGCACTCGTGACCCTCCCATAAGCACTCCGTCCCCATCTTTAGCAGCAAGGAGTTCCAGTTTCTGACCCCTTTGTAACTCCTCGCAGCGCTATTCTTCCTAGACCGCAATGACCTTTCTGTGCCTCCACACTGTTGACTGGCCTCCAGAGGGCCCTCACAACATCTAGCTTGTCATACATAAGTTTATCGCTAACTGGTACAGAGCCGACCAGTCTATATGTCTGCTCATTTCTCAACAAACCGGACTAACCTGGAAAATATATCTAAAGAAAACTAACTACTCAGGACTTCTGAAGTGATGCTTGCCACTCTGCACGAAGCAGACCTGTCTCCACCTTTCTCAACATGCTCTTCGAGTCTGCAACAATCACGGGATGTGTGTACAGCTGATTCTCAAGCCAGCGGAATGCAGCAGTGACTATCTCCACCTCCATTCTCAAACTAGACTTTGCGATTTCATATGCCAGGCTTTCCTGCACTAAGCGACGTCCAGGCTTATGCTTTGAATCCCTATGCACTTCGTCTGCAGAAAAAACACACACAGACATAACGCCCACACAGAAACAACACACACAGACACAACGCTCACACAGAAACAACACACACAGACACAACGCTCACACACAGAAACAACACACACAGACACAACGCTCACACAGAAACAACACACACAGACACAACGCTCACACAGAAACAACACACACAGACACAACGCTCACACAGAAACAACACACACAGACACAACGCTCACACACAGAAACAACACACACAGACACAACGCTCACACAGAAACAACACACACAGACACAACGCTCACACAGAAACAACACACACAGACACAACGCTCACACAGAAACAACACACACACAGACACAACGCTCACACAGAAACAACACACACAGACACAACGCTCACACAGAAACAACACACACAGACACAACGCTCACACAGAAACAACACACACAGACGTAACGCTCACACAGAAACAACACACACAGACACAACGCCTACACACAGAAACAACACACAGACACAACGCGCACACAAAAACAACACACGCAGACACAACGCCCACGCAGAAACAACACACACAGACACAACGGACACAGAAAAAACACACAGAGACAGAATGCGCGCACAAAAACAACACACATAGACACAACGCTCACACATAAACAACACACACAGACACAACGCTAACACAGAAACAACACACACAGACACAACGCTCACACAGAAACAACACACACCGACACAACGCCCACACAGAAACAACACACATAGACACAACGCGCACACAGAAACAACACACACAGACAGAACGCTCACACAGAAACAACACACACAGACACAACGCTCACACAGAAACAACACACACAGACACAACGCGCACACAGAAACAACACACACAGACAGAACGCGCACACAGAAACAACACACACAGACACAACGCTCACACAGAAACAACACACACCGACACAACGCCCACACAGAAACAACACACACAGACACAACGCTCACACAGAAACAACACACACAGACACAACGCTCACACAGAAACAACACACACAGACACAATACAACAGAGATGAATGGAGACGGTGATATCTAGCAAAAAATCTGAACGGCTGAGCATGCTGGTCGGCGTCTGTGGCGTTGCGAACGCCTTTTATAATGCCGGGACCCGGGTTCGATCCCAGCTGTCGGCGATGTGGCAGCAGAAGATCTTGTGTTGATTTCATCAATGGTACCGAAAGCTGACCGTTAAGCCAGCAATGGCAAACTACTAAACGTAAAATTTGCCTAGAAAAACCACAACAGCCAAAATATGATGGACTAGGTTCTGCAACTCAACCGGGCATGCTGAAGAAGAAGAAGAACATTATACTAAAGCAAGTATACACTTATTTGCTTACTACTGCTATATGGCAACAGCTGAGTGTTCCATATTTCTAAACTATCCCCAGGTATCGAAAGGTGTGTCATCCATTTCACTGGCAGGTAACGACACAGAACGCCAAAATGATCAGCTTTGTCGTATGTTGCCTGGGGTTTCTGCTGTCTTTGCCCTATGCTGTCGTCAGTGGGAGCCAGACTAAAGATACACCACGTAGAGGCATCGTTGGATACCAGTGTGCACTTGATGATAAATATGTTAACACCTTTTACCCCGTGGCGATCTATGCAGTATTCCTGTTGTTATACGTTTTCTGCTCCCTGACCCTCACAGTACTGTATATTTTCATAGGGGTAACTGCCTGTAGACATAGTAACATGTACGGTGTATCCTCTCCTGGTACATCCACAGTAACAAATGCCACTAGTTGTAGAAACGATTCAAACCCAACGGAGCATTGTTTCGACCAAAATAATTGTAACAGTGCAAGATGTGGACATTGCTACGAAAACAATATAGACACGGTGATTACTGGCCTGTCTGCTATTGGAGGTACTAGACATTTACAAAGTATTGAAATGAACCTGTTTCAGTCCAGTGACGACCAATTTCAGTATAATGTAGGTGTTTTGAGAGATCAAACAGAAGTCCTGAATCCATTGGCAAGTGATTTCTACGGCACATTAGAGAAGACAAAAAATCCACTTAGTGTTGACTCCGCTTATCGCCAACGGGATGCATCTCATTTTCCAGACAACGAAGAAAACATGCAGTTGGTTCAAGGCTCCGGGGAAAATGTGAAAACTGGTAGAATAACCATAAAAAACATTAAGTCAAGCCAGGACTTTGGTGAAGACAAGGATATCGACGCCACTAGAATAACAAAAAAGAACAACCCCGATAACAAAATGAGTTCAGTTGAGTCTAGCGGTGAGGATACTGATTCAGACTGGAAGTTTACTGAATGTTGTATGGACCGACTGCTTGATAAAAGAAACAGATTAGATACAGCACGGACAAACGATGAGCTAATGAATACTATCCGCCCAAGGCAATTTTTAGAGAAAACTGGTTCAAAAAATGACAACGTTTCTAATCTGTACAATAAAGTAGACAATAACAAACGCTACCCGCAGTCAACACAATCTTCAGTAAATGAATTCATGATTGAATCTGAACCTTTGTCAGTTGTTAAATGGTTGGAACTTTGTCGTGAAGATGGACACCGTACATTTAGCTCGGACTGTCTCCAACGAAAGACCAGACTTTCCTTCAGACTCCTACTCAACAATAGTCTACTTCAGAAAACGGAATGGCTGAGAACTGTTGTCATTGAAGCTATGACAAGACATGACACGACAAAAGATAATTACCACCTCAGAGTTCTAGCACAAGGTTCAAGCGTAGACGACCCCCGTTATCAATGGCATAGTCCAGATGCAAGCGTTGAAAATAGCGATAAAGAAACATTATATTCACTAATAATAAAGTATATTTTTGGAAAACCAGTTAGTGAAACAATGGAAAGAGCTTCCTTACAAACAATTCAGTCTCATCGGAGCACAGTCAAAAAGCGACATGTTAGCAGGACAACCATTATGTTATTTATAATTAGCACCATTTATATCCTGGGCTATCTGCCTCATTTAGCAATAATGTTCATACAGTTTATGTTCCCTTATGTTGTGGCAAACCTGTCAAAGGTACAAATAATTTTATTCAATCTTGGCATGCGTACCTTCTTCCTCAACTCTGCGGTAAACCCCGTTGTTTACAGCCTGTGTGATGTCAACTTTAGGCGAGAGTGTTTTAAGGTCATTAAATTTCAACAAAACAACGAGATGTGACACGTACCTGTCTCTGCGCTGCTTTGGCTAAATATTAAACAAAGGGATCGGAACTTTATGCCTGAGGGTACCCCTTCCCCTGCCCCTACCGCTATTTCTTTAGGGGACTAACAACCTGTCCTTCTCCCAACCAAAATCTCTTACCCTTGTTTAGTCATTGGATATGTAAGTGTTCATTTTTTCATTTAATGTTATTTCAAATGTTTTGGTATACTGGCTATACCTGGTCACGAGTTTCTGTGACTCAGGAAAAAAAAACAGATATAAGATATCCATCAGTGAATGTAACTGTGTTGGATACAAATGCTCGAGAATATCGCTTAGAGCATTTCCCGTCTATTTTCATGCGATGAAAGCGTAGAGTGTCTTTAATGTTGTCGATCCATATATTTGCGGCCGTCCCTTGTCCTTGTAGCTGGTCTTCTGAGATGTAGTGCCTGTGATAGTATTTAATCACTCTACATTCTAACTAGATGGCCAAATCACTTGATCTGCTGTTTCTCGATGAATCATGTGCAAATTGTTGCCACAATTTGTCTGACAATATTATTATTCACTCCATTTTGGATGGTTAGGTTGGCGGCTTTTCTCGGGCATCTTGTCTCGCCAGGGATGAGTTTGCGTACGTGGGCTTTATATAGTGTCCCTGTCTGGCACTGGTAGCTTCATGGTGGTATGAATATGCTGTTTATAATCTGTCTCCCGGCACTCATAGGTATATTTGGATGTGTTAATAATGGTGACAATTGGTATATAAATGCACTTGCTTTCTGACATCTGGTTTCTATTTCACTGACAGTTCTACCATCTTCCATGATCATGCTTCCTAGATATTTAAATACCCAAACCTGATTCAGACCAGAACCATTCATCTGTATGTGCAGTGGGCCAGGGGTTCTACTTATTTGCATTGTTTCGGTTGTGTTACCAATAATCTTCATGTTGTATTTACTGCATGCTGTTTATGTGGTCTTGCAATCTATCTTCTTCAGGGTAGAACAAGCACTGGTCGTCAGCAAATAGCAGTTCGTTTATTGTGTTAGTGAGTCGATTACTTCGTCTTAAGTGTATATTTCCTTGTGATTATACCGATTGATTCTGTCTGTTTTAGAACTTGCTTCTTCGAATATTATGTTTTTATAAATTTTAAATAAAATTAAGGAGAGCATACATCCCGGTATCGCACATGTGTTCCCCTTGAACATATCTGATATGCCTTTTTGTGTTCTTACTACACTTTAGCTGTCTGGTCACATAGTGTTAATTTTGCCTTTGTTGCGGTATACTTGTGACACAACCAAGTGTCCGAAATAATGAGGACACAGTGACATTAGGCTACCCTGATGTAAAGTCTCCTTTATACGGCTGGTTGGTTTTCGTGACTGCCTTAATGACTAGAGGGAGTTGTGTTGGAGCAGCGGCTACACGCTCCTCGTGTCAGCCCAATTTACTTTTAAGTCACATGTTTTTTTTTTCTACAAATACCTTCGCTCTCAGGTCAGTCCAGTCCAAAATTGTTACCAAATAAAGTCTTGATTGCATGTGTGTAAGATGTACCCCACCAGGACATTACACAAGCGATAAACACCTGGTGACACAAAGCGGTAAACACCTGGTGACACAAAGCGATAAACACCTGGTGACACAAAGCGCCACCATGCGGATAAGGATCACCAGTGGAGTGGACCCAGAAACCCCGTTCAGATACCTAATACCATACATCTATACATACCATACATACCTAATACATACATACATACTATAAAAATACACAATACATACATACATACAAAAATACAGACATAACATAACATTACATTACATACAAACATACATACATACATACATACATACATACATAAATACCTACATCACATAAATACATACAGTAACATACATAACATACCATACAGACATACATACATACAAATATAAATACATTCATTAAAGACATACATACATAACAGGAAACACACAGACACACACACATACATACATTACACACCACAGACACAAAACACCACACAACACAGACAAACACACACACCCAACACACACACACACCACACACACACCCACAGAGACACCACATACACACACACACACTATACACACACAACACACAAACATACATTGACATAACCTACATACATCACATTACATACAGACATACATACATACATACATACATACATACAATACTATACCCATACGCTACAGACCATACATACATACATTACATACATTACATACCATTACATACATACGTAAATACATACAAGACATACAACTACCTAAACATTACATACATACATTACCATACATACATACATAAATAACCGTACTACCACAGACTACATACCATTACATACAATACATACATTACCATACATACATACAACATACATACACACATACATAACATACATACATACATACATACATACATACCATACATACATACATACATACAGACATACATACATATTAAATACAGACATACATACAGACATACATACATACATACATACATACATTACATACATACAATACATACATACATACATCCATTACATACCATAGCATACATACATACATACAGACATCAATGCCGTACATACATACTAAACAGACATTCATACATACATACATACATAAAATACAGACATATAATACAGACATACAACATACATACAGCCATACATATCGATATCATACATTACATACATACATCACATACATACATACATACATACATAATACATACATAATAAATACATACATCCATACTACATACTATACATACATCCATAAATACATAACATAAATACCTACATACATAAATACATACATACATACTACACTACAGACATACATACATACATACATCACCTACATACATACATACATACATACATAACAGACAATACATTACATACATTACACACACCACACACGCATACATACATACATACAACAATACACACACACACACACACACGCATACACACTACACATACCACACACACACACGCATACATACATACCATACTACATACATCACTACCATTAAAACAAATAAATTAATATTACACACATACACACACACATAACACACTACGCTAAATACATACATACATACAATACATACCATCAGACATACATACATACATCCATACATATCATACATACCAGACTAATACATAACATACATACATACAGACATACATAAATACATACATTACATACATACCTACATTACATAAATACATACATACATACATACAAACCCCCATACATACATACATACATACATACATACATACTAATTATCTACATATCATACATGACTAAACACATACACTACATACATTACATAAGACATACATACATACATACATACATACATACATACATACCTACATACATACATACATACATACATACATACATACATACCATACATACATACATACATACACACATACAGACCTAACATACATACATACACACATACATACATAAATACATACATAATACATACTCACATACATAAATTAAATCCATATCATACATACTCATACATACATTACATACATACATACATACATACATACATACATACATTACATACATAAATACTACATACATACATACATACATACACACCTACACACACGCATACATACATACATACATACATACACACACACACACACACACACAGTATACACACACAGTACACAAACCACACACAACGCATACTTACATCCCTACATACACACAAACACAACACACACACACCACCACGCACACACACACATCACAAAAACACACCAACGCCCACACCACACACACCGCACACACACACACACACACACACACACACACACGCACACACACAAACACACACACACACACACCACGACACAAACACACACACACACACAACACACACACACACAACAACACACACAACAAAAACACACACACACACACACACACCACAGACACACCTACATTACGTACACACCACACACACAGACTACTACACAAACACACACACACTAAACAGCACACACACACACACACACACACACACCACACACACACACATACTACACACATACAAAACATACATACATACATAAATACATACAACCTTACATACATACTATATATACAATACATACATACATACATACATACAACTACATACATACATACATACACTACATACATTACATACATACATACAGACATACATACCATACATACATACATACATACATTATCCATACATAATACACATGATCACTACATACATACAGTACATACATACTAATACATACAATACCTAACATACATACATACATACATACTCATACATGACCATAAGACATACATACAGACATACATACCAATGACATCTACCATCTCATAACATCCAGACAGACATAACAGACATACATAATACAGACATGACATACATACTATACATACCTACATACATTACATACAACACCATTACATACATACATACATTCCAAACATACATACATCCATCCATACATACATATACATACAGCAACATTGCATGCATGCTGCATGCATGCATGCATGCATAACATGCATAACTACATACATACATACATCCAGACATATATACATACATCCCTACTACATACATAACATACATATAGACATACATACATACATACATATCTACCATACATACCTTACAATACATACATACCTACAGACATCCATAAATACATAACATAAATCCGGTATACATACCTACACGACACACATACATAACACAAACATAATACACTAACACACACCACAAACACAAACCACACAGAACAACACTACACACACAACATACACACACACACAATACTATCACTACCTACATCCATACATACATGCGTTAATACATACATAACATACATACATAAATACATACATACCTACATACATAAATCCATACATAC